AAATTAGACACTGCCAAATTTATAAGAGTTTGATGGGTTTTTGCTCACTCATGCCGTTTGGCAATTTTTAACCTTATCATTAGTGTAAAAACTAATTGATCTCGGATTTTTATAAAAAGTTCTAGCTTTAAGTTCTAGTAATCGTGCAAGGTCAGACGGAAAATTGAAAAGCCTAAAAAACTTTATCCTTTGACTAAGCATAAGCTAGTAGCGGATTTGTTTCTTCAAGTTCTCCCTTCAATTGAGCAAAGTAATGGTTATGACCAGCCAAAAAAACTTAGAAGGAATGCAAAACATCGGGTTCTAAAAGCGTTTGAAAAGCGTTCGTTTCCTATTTCTGCCTTTTAAAACACATTCAGTTATAATTCTTAACTTTTTTTTAAAACAGGAAAGAATTTTGGCTGTACTGTTATAGGCTGTAGCTTTTTTTGTAGCGTGAAAAACTTGTCTGAAATTTTAGTTTTACAAAAAAGCTATTGAAATGGTCGTGCAAAGTGATCACGCGCGAATGGTGGACGATTTTTTAACGAGACTCACTCGATTACATTTGTCTTTGCAGCACTATAAGGAGGCAGCAGAAACTATTGGTACTGCTATGGATAATTATATGGCTTTAAAGGTGATCGAGTTTAAGCATTCGCTATGTTTAAAAGGAATACGATCAATTAGAAACATTTATGAAAAGACACTTATTGGAACTTATCCGGTACTTCATAAAATTTATGCAGTGCACCACTGAAAATTTTTGATGTTTCGTTGTCTCCTTGAGCAAACTTTTTTCAGGCTAAGAAAAGTTTGTCTGTGAACATTTTTTTAGGAAGTTGGACAAGTACGTCAATTGGGGTTATGTGCGGTGTTAGTGCAGTTGGCACGTCGAGATTCTGTTGCGGCTACACAGTTCTTTCATAAAGCAACCAGTTAAGTCGCATTTTGTGTCGAAGCGGCTAAATTGCCTACAAAGATTTCTAGAAAAATTGAAAGCAAATCACTCACTTGCAAAAAAGGTTTCAGCGGTGTAAAGAAAATAAATACTACAGGAAAA